AACAGAAGTTCACTTGAGTTCACGTAACTTCACGCGATAACACGGCCCAAATAAGGATATTTGCGAGAGCTTGTTGCGGAGGGCTCCGGCACGCCGCAAGGATAGCTTTCTTGCGGAATTTTCTGCAGCGCCAGAGTGTCTCAGTAACCGCAGCCGGACAGCTCAGCAGCCGGTGAGAGAGGTTTACGTCTTTTTAATGACTTGGAATCACTGCGGCGCCGCACCCACCGCACCGCAAGACCGGAGTCGGTGTGAGCCGGGGGTTGGGAATGTAAAAAGTAACTAGTTAGAAATCATGGAGAGCAAGATGGAAGGAAGAACATGGTCAGTGTGGCGAGCGAGGCTGCAGGGATCCATAGGTGGTAAACGCAGGAGCAGGTCATTTTGACATATATTTGCTGGACTGAATATGTTATCCAGATATCTCAAATGCATTTCTTCCTGATCAAAATGAACCTTTCAGATATCTAAATATCTGAATATATATATATATATTTATATATATATATATATATATATATATATATATATATATGTGCATTTTAACGAACGTCTACAACGTACATACAGTATGCCCGATTGTAGCACTAGTGCTAATTTACATTTGCAGTCCCTGGGGAAGCAAACAAAAAACACAGAAAAACCAAGCATAATACATGTGTATACATTTGCATGCTTGCACGTACAGACACACGCACACACAAAGTATTTAGAACCACTGACTGCAAATGTTATTTGTCCAAAAGCTTTGTACCTGCTTGTCTAAATGTGCATTCAGTTGCTTTACCACCCATTTTTCAGCAATCATAGACATTGTTGGGAGGATACTAATGGGTCGATATTTGGCCTTATCAGTGTTATTGCCAGACTTCCATGCTGATGGCGTTGAGACCATACACAGCCTTTACCTTTGAGTTTGTGAGCGTTAAATCGTCAGACACTTCTCAGACACTTCGTCCTCTATTATAACCTTGATCCTAAAGATAGAAGAAGCATCATAAAATACTGTCAGTTTGAATAAATTGTTGATTTATCTCAACAAAAGACTCAACAAAATATTCATTTGTTTCGCAGCTATGATGAGAGAACAATGGTCTCATTTATTTAGATATCAATTTTATTAGTAAGGTCTTTTTAATTATGTTCAGTTTATTCATATAACGGCAATTTCCGACACAGGTTATCTCAAGGCACTTTACAGAGACAATTCAACCTTTGCATGACACTTTTTCAACACTTTTTCCCTCCAAATCTGAAAAGCTGGTTAAATTTGATTCCACAAAGAATTTACTTCAGAGCTGTAAACAATATTTTTTTGTTGATAAAACTCAAATGCAAATAACCCTTTCCTTCCATATAGCAATTGTCACTATGTTCATTTGCAGGGTAAAATATAATTTAAATAAAATTTATTTAAGATTTGAATGCAAGAGTAATTATAGCTACTAAAGCTGCTTTGCTGACATTTATGGCTGCTGTAGAAAAAAAAAAGCTCACTCACATCCTCTTTCTAATCTCTCTTTCAGTTTCAACCGTCTGGACTTGCCTCCCTATAAAAGCTATGAGCAGCTGAAGGAGAAGCTCATCTACGCCATCGAGGAAACTGATGGATTTGGCCAAGAATAGAGAGTTAAAGCCTCTGTGGCTCCCTGTCTGTTGAAAAAATATTATCAGTTTTTTTCCATTATTTTCAAGCTTGTTGAAATGTTTGTT